CCCCAAAACCCCAAAACCCCAAAACCCCAAATAGCTCACCGACAATTGATTATAAACTTTATTAAAATGGAGCTGGTGAAAGAATGTAAGAACATACAAATAAAGCAAGACAGGTGGATCAATTTGATCAATTCGGACAACAAGCATAAAATATGTTATCTTTTCCACCACACACATAAGAAAATAGAATCAATTTAGATTTGCTGGTTTAGAATTATTGCCCTGAGATAGTTTAAAGATTTCCAAGATATTTTACGTAAATTATGAAATACAGATGAGCTATATTTTAAAATCTGGCGATATTAATGCATGAATTCTAAGACGTGAGGCCAGAAAAACACCAAAGAATACAATATTAGAACTGCCTTATTTAAGACTCTTTGTGAGTTTGTTTCAGTCTATCATCGTTTGAGAGTAGACTTGCCTAGTTTATGTAACACAATTGGCTTGAACCTGGCATAAATATTGTTAGGCTTATCCGAATTAATAAAGAACCTGAAATGTTATTAGTTGGATGATACTTCTTCGTTGGCTTTATTCACCTCCTCTTTTTGAATTTATACAAGAAATCTGCAATCGTTTTAGAATTATTCAAATTTATCATATCTCTGGATTTGTGTTTTATTTTTATCTATTTTGAAATAGCCTTACAGATTGATTCAAAATTCGTGTATTCTCTTCTTTATACAATAGAGCTTCAAAATATTGTAAACTGCTAGAAGTCCTAATCCTAATACAAATACTACCACTTAATCTTTTCTTTATTAGTACTAGATGCACGAATCTTCTTTGTAGATAGCCAATTGTACGAAAAAAGTTAGGATAAGGTAAAAATTAAAAATTCTAGAGGGAGGTTAAAAAGGCAAATCCTCAAAGAACATAATCTAGCATAAGAACCAAACTGAATTTGAAAGACTTAGGCTTAGATGATCAATGAGCGTATTAGTCCCTGCAGTTTAAATTTTGGGGGTTTAGACAAATCTTAATATATGCTAGATTGAGAACCGATCTTACATAAAGATTTTCTCCAAGTAAAGCATTTAAAAGTTATCTTGTAATTAAAAAATATCAAGAACTAGTCAAACTTATCCAAATTTTCTATTTCAAAACTAAGAGGAGATTCGGTCTCTCTAATATCAAGCTTATCTGAATGAAATAAGAAAACTAGTATTTTTTTAATAAAAATGAATATTGTAAGATCGCTATTTAGTAAGCTTGGAATGTTTAGCAATTAGCCTATGAAATTGATCAAAGTTAATAATTTAAAGCCAATGTTTATTAGAAAACTCATAAACATAGCAGAAAGTGAGCATTCTCATACTTTAGAGGGATAACTTTGAAGTAGTTTCGTTCCTATTGGTTGATCTTGTTCAGAGAAAATACTTAATTAAAAGATACTCTTGAATATTAAGACAAAAAAATTCAAAATAATTTAAGAAAAATAAAGCTAGTTTATTTCACTTTGACTGGTTGTGAAGATAATTTTAGAATAATTTATGCTTGAACAAAAAAAAGACAGTAAATTTGGATAATAGTAGAGCTCTATTAGATTAAAAAAACAAGTTAAAAACTCGTAGATACTAAAACCCAAAATGTACTCTCGTTAAATGATATTGGCTAAATTTACAAAGTACTTTTCGTGCAATAATTTATCAAAAATTGTTTTCCTTCAGAATCAGAATTCTTTCCTCTACATATCAGTTATATCTTTAAATGGAAGACAACCTCAACAATGAAATTAAGTCTTTTATAAATAGTCTTTTAAACTTCTATAAAGTGGGATGTTCTGGATAGTCATTTTGAATCTTTACTTTTCTGATTTTTTCTTCATAATAATACACCATACTATTTTTTAATTTTAGGCTAGACTTTCGGAAATGTATCTTTGTTGAGTTCATAAATTGAACGAGTGCAAATTTATGTGGATTTCAAGCTGTTTTTATAGACAGAATAACATATCAGAAACCCCCATGGAAGAAATTAGAGTGGGGAATATTTAAATATCCTATATGATTTAGTTATGGAAGGAAAGACAAGAAGACAAAAAGCATTAGTGAAGCTAATCCCATTAAATATTTAAACAAGATAGCGCGAATTATTTAATACAGAAAAGGTTAAAACACAGGGCACATTCAGGATTCTCTATCTATTATTGCTCCTCTTCTTTCTTACATTTTGACTAAGCCCAGTGAGTAGTTTGCAAACCATACATTTTCAAAGAAATCTACAAAACAGAACATTAAATACAGGTAAGATAAGGGTTAAATTCAGAGAAAATAACTTATGATGCTCTTCATTTTTATCTTGTCTTAAAGATAAATTTTTAGTTAATATTTTATGCATCCTCATCGATCCTTGAAATCATTGAAATGCGATATCTAAACTGTATAGTATGCCCTCCGTCTTGACTTACCTGAGACTCATCAAATGTGTGAATCAGCTGTCCAGACTCGATGAGGCTCAATTCCACCAGCAACCAATGAGAGTTCTGCCCTGATGGCCAATTTTATTTGAAAATTACTGATACCTGAATGAGTTGAGAATCGAGTTGATTGACTCTCTGAGCCTATAAATCCGAGTGATATGAATGCCCAAATGAAGAATATTATGACCTTGACAATTCTAAATGTGTAGCTTCTTGAGATCCAGTAACCCAAGTCCCTATAAATAGCACTCAAACTGACAACAAAGCTTATTGAAGAGGGTTTAATTACTATGTGAATTCTAATAGCACTGAGGTGGTGGAGTTAGGAACAAAAGAGTTTCCATATAAAGGTCTGAGTTTAGTATTTATTGAGCTTCTCAACTATTTAAGCCACAGAGATATTATTGTTAATGTCTATATACTGGAAAATACTGCCAATTATCTTGAGCTAAATAAAAACTACATTATCAACATTACCCATGTGAACATATTGACTTATTCAGTAACAGGATCCGATCCAACCCATGCTAATTTAATTCTGAAAGACTCCGCCATCACTACCATAAACCCTTGGACTAAATATTCCCTTCTACAATCAGATATGTTAGACATGTCAATTGTCACTTCTTCAGATTCCTTTGCAACATTATTTGCACTTAAAGTTATCTTTGTTCATAATTCTTCTTTGGCAATTCAAAATATGCATCTTGACTCAGAATACTCCAATATTTATACCGATAACCGATTTGTATTTCCTTCTCAGTGAGGAAGTAAGTGTAGTTATGACTAAAATATAGGAGGAAAATCAATCAGGTTTCAAGACATATACTCTTCTATTTCTGGCTCTCTTTTGTCATCGATATCTGCTGTGGAGGTGCAGGTTAAAAATGTGATTTTTGATTGATACAGATCAAAATATTGTATTAGTATATATGCTCCTTGAAATTTCCCTGAAGCAGATTTTTATGGGAAACTAATCGTAGATAACTTAACATTATTCGACTCTCAAGACAAGATAGTTGCTTTCTCTGGAAGGGCTGTAAATTTTTTTGGTTCAGGAAACATGAGTGTCAACTACTTTAACTCCTCGGTGTATAGTGAAGGAGCCGGAAGTGGAAGTATCTTATCAATGCTTCCAGTCTCTGAATGCATTCCAGACACTACAGAAATACAGTACTGTAATATGTCAAATTCTTACTTAACAATATCTCAAAACTCTGACAACACCAGATCTGCTCGGATTGGCTTACTCCCAGAAGTGTTCAGGCCAAGATCTGTCTATGCTAAAGTTTTCTTTTCCAATACTACTTTCGAAAATATAGCCAATGATTTGTTTCCCTTAGCATACGTTATAGCTGATTTCTCGCCTGATGTAAATGTAGTCAACATCACAGTTAAAGGATGCTCAGCAAAAGACAACATGATGACCTTTGGAGGGGCTAATATTAAGATGACCAATAACTTGGTAGTAGACTCTAAAGTAAATACACGATCTGCAATAGCCATTAGAGGAGGTCTTACTGCTATAAATAATACTTTTGAAAATGTTATTTTTGGATCTGTTCAGAATAGACAGATATTTTGGATCCAGTTTTCTGAGCTTGTATATATAGACAACATTCAATTTATTGATTGTAAGCCAAATACTAATTCATTGTTTTATTTTGAACAAGTTTCTGTCCCTTTTGTTATTAAAAATGCTCTCTTTAAAAACATTGAAAACACAGAAGGACATCCGTTTATTTCTTCTTCAGAGCACTTTGGAGGAGTTTTCCAAAATGTGACTTTCCAAGATATTTATAAGCAAAGTGCTGATGATACCACTAATGTTATGATGAGACTTGGAAATTTAAAACTTGGTGATCAAAACAAATTGTCTTTGATAGACTTTACCATTTCAAATTCAACTGTCCCCTTTATTGTGTTTGATTCTATTACAAATATTGAAAGAAACAGTTCTTCAATTGATATACAAAATCTAAAATACCATGACTGAGTCTTTGATTCAACCGAAAGCCTTATTTCTTTAAAAAGCTTATTCTCATCTAGCGATTTTGAAATTAAATTTAACAACTCTCTGTTCTACAACATTAAATTTGCCAGAGGAGGCAAAATATTTGATTTTAAGCACCAAATCTCCACACAAGTAGTGATCCAAGATACTGTTTTTACTAATATCACTGCAGGGAGTATTTACTTGGAGTCACTTAATAAGAATGATGCTGCATCTACATTAGTGCTGCTCTCAAACATCACTGTTCAAGAATGAGAGATGGACGATAAGTCATTCCTCGATGTTTCACAAGGAGGTAGACTCGAAGTAAGGAACTCATTGTTCACTAATATGCACTCTTCTTATGAAGGACCCATCTTACACTCAGAATTTGAAGGGACAGAGGTTAATATTTTCCGAAGCAACTTTACAAAGAACACTGCTATCAACGCTGGAGTGTTTAGCATCAAGGAACGTAGCCTGGTTAAGTGAACTGAATGAAGAATCTTCGAAAATTTCGCAATATCAAATGCTGTTCTATATGCTAAAAGCCATGCTAATTTTGAATTTATTGACACACTAATCTATAATAATTATGCAAGAAGCACTCCTCTGGGTAGTATTCTTGATAGCACCAAAGCCTCTCTTATTACTGGTGGAAGCATTTATGATAATATAAAAATAACTAAAGAAGAGTATATATCTCAAAATGAAGTAGTTTGAACGACCCTCTGTTTTTTGCCAGATTCCATAAGAACAAAAACAAAAGAATCATTTGAAACTATTGAAGGCTTTGACAAAATAGTTTTGTTAGATGTTATTTTTGGAAGCATTTCATTTCAGAGTATGCAAAATATTTATAATCAAGATCAACTTATCAACGGGTTCAACTCTGAAATATCAATAGAAAACTCTACTATCAGCTATTTCACAACAAATCATCCAATTATCACAGCGTCTTCATCAGTTCTAAATATTTCAGCGACTATTTTTGACAGAATCAACATGACTTCATGGAATGCCCCAGTGATATTGTCAAACTCAGAATCTGTGACCACACTCAGCAATGTTACTTACTCAAATTCATCAGGAAAGTTCATTGAGGAAGCCAACACTGTCTGAAGCATGGATGGGGTGCACTTTTCGGATATCGAAACACAGAAAGAGCTTATTTTCATGTACTCGACTCTTGATTGCTCCATAAAGAACATGTCATTAAGCAATATCTCTGGCAATTATACGAGCTTCTTTAAGATGATAAAGTCCAAAGTGGGTCTTCTAGCAAATATTGAAATTAGAGATATGCCAGGGGAAGGCTTCAGAATTACAAAATCTACTATCATTCTGATCAACCAAATAAAGCTCAGAAATATTACTAAAGGATTCCAAGTAATCAATTCTGAAATTGGAGAAATCAGGAGCTCGGAGTTTAGCAACCTTGGAGGAGAAAACATTTTATCAGGAGGAGCAGTTCATCTGAGAAACTCAAAAATTATTGGTGATAACTTGACATTTACTTCAAATACCGCCTCAAGAGGAGGAGCTGTTTATGTTGAATGTCTTACAGCTTTAAGGGAAGAATGAGAGGTATCTTTTAGTAAATCTAATTTCACTCAAAACTCAGCCAAAGAAGGAGGAGCCATCTATTACGATTCATTCCGTCCATTATTTTTGAATGTCTATTTTAACAATTCTGCTGAGTATGGGCCAAATATTGGATCCTATCCAATCAAAATATCTCAGGTCAACTCTAGTATACAGAACATAGAGTTTGATTTTGTTGGAAGCGGAATAAAATATCCTTCAGAAATCAAACTGCAAATAGTAGATCATGATGGGCAGAACATTGCAACTGACTCAACCTCTCAGATTAAGATATCTCCAATTACTTCAAATACATTTTTAACTGGAATTGACTATGCTCAAGTTAAAAATGGAGTTGGAACTTTCGATAACTTAGTGTTCCAAGCAGCCCCAGGAAAATCAGGAATTGAGTATAAAGCATTTTCGAAATCAATAGACTCGAGTCTTGTCACAAGGGTGTATGGAAGCATTGATCAGAATCTTATAACTGTTAATTTCCGATGGTGCCAGCCTGGAGAAATGTACTCAAGCAATGAAACTTGAGTAGAGTGACCTCAAGGAACTTATTCCCTTGAATGGAATTCTACTCAATGCATAGATTGAATGAAGAATGCAGTTTGACCAGGAGGAAGCAAAATTTTAGTAAATCCTGATTATTGGAGATCTAGCCTTAATTCTACTGACCTGGTAAAATGCCCTCTTAGAGGTATCTGACTTGGAGGATTTCAAGAAACTAATAAAAATCCTGTAGAATGTTCAGAAGGATACTCAGGCTATCTCTGCACCTCTTGAACCAACCATGGGGGAAATGACTTTATGAGAGTTGGATTGTACGAATGAGAGAAATGCCCTAATAAAATGTATAACTCTATCAGAATCGCCTTATTAATGATTCTAGTTATCATTTTCATTGTGATATTGATCATCATTAACATCAGGAAGAAGAATGAAAGTCAGAAATCCATTATATTGAGAATCCTTACCAATTATCTTCAATTAATGGGAATTGCTGTTTCATATGGACTAGATTACCCCAATGCGTTATATGATTCGTTCTCGTTTATGGAGAGAGCTAGCTCAACCTCAGAATCATTCATATCTTTTGATTGATTCTTTAATGATGCGCAGATGGAATCTTTTACTTCTTCAACGCCAATATTCAAGCTATTCCTTTCTACCCTGTTGCCTCTGTTTTTCATTATTATGTCTGCTTTAATTTGGGGCTTGCTTGGGCTTACCGGGCATAAATGGTTCGAAGATACCAAGAGGAACATAAGCATCACTATTATCTGTATTTTGTTCTTACTCCACCCAACATTAACAAAGCAGTCTCTCAGCTTGTTCCAATGCACTGATGTTGGTAACGGAGAAAGCAGAATGACAATCGACATGAATATCCAGTGCTACTCTGCCGAACACCTCAAATGGGCTTTACCTATTGGAGGCTCAATGATGGTTGTATGGGTTATTGGCTGCCCAATGGCTGCATTGATCATATTAATAAAATTCAGAAAGAATCTTGATCATGACATTGTAAAAAGGTATTTCCTGATTTTGTACCAAGGATTGAGACCAGAAGTGTTTTACTGGGAGTTTGTCAATACTCTAAGAAAAATATTGATTCCTTTAACAAACATTCTTCTGTCAAGAGCAGACATATTTTACAGGATAATGTCAGCAGTCATCATTCTTGTTTTTATGCTCAGAGTTCAGGAGTCCTTGAAGCCCTATAAATTTGAAGAAAACAACAAAGTAGAAATTCTCGCAGTTCTCAGTGGCATGGTTACCATTTTTGGAGCTATTATTTCCCTTGATAACACGAATGATCAAGAAATTGAAGATATCCCATTTCTAAGAGTTATATCGGTTTCATTAATTCTAACAGCAAATGTTTATTTCTTACTAAGATGGATTTTGTTATTCTTATTTTCGTTAGAAACATCAAATGAAATTATTTGAACAATAAGGAAAGTCTTAGCCAATCTTTTATGCAAAGGAAAAACCAAAGCTTTTACAATTGCAAACTCTAAGTCATTAACTTCCAAAAACTGTAAGGAGTTTCAATGAGAGAAAGTTTTGGTAAAGAAAAAGTAATTAATGGATTATCGCTTTAGGAAAAGAAGACAGAGGAAAATCCCAAAGAAGAAACTAAAAAATAGAAGATTGAAGATTGAAAGTAATTGACCGATGCAAGGTATTAAAGATAGGGGTAATGGTACAGGTAGGAGTTTGGCTTAATCCTGTAGAACAGCCAGTCTATAATGAAATTCTCGTACCAACTAGATTAAAAGGAAAGATGCAACACTTCTTTGAAAAATTTGAAAACCAGCTACCAAGGAACGCTTCTAGCAACGAAGTCTTAGAAAAAATCATAGAAGAAGAACAATTCGACCATAAATTTCTCCTAAACAGAAGTAGTATTCTTTGATAACCCTCTAGGACCTCCAACTCCTCTTGAGCCCCCTCCCTTATCAACCCCACCAAGCTCCCAATCCAACAGACCTCTCCACCCTAACAGCCCAATCACTAACCCTCGCCTTACAAACAACAACATTCTCTTCCACCTATCCAAAATCAAGCCAAAGAAAGACACTCCTTAAACATCTCTACATTCCATAAATTCCCAAACCTAAAACCCAATCCTTTATCCCAAAACCCATCCCTTTCTACCTTTTATTGTTCCTCATCCGCACCTAATGGCCCTTACTATTGGGATAAATTACTGATCTCAGTAGTTTTCAGTGGTGGCTGTTCTAAACTCTCGAACTAATTTTTAACAGTTGTGTAAGGATAGTTTGAGGTTGGTTTTGTGACTGTAATTATATATTTCAGTTTGGAGATGACTCTGGATATTAATAATTTTAAGATTTATTTCTTTTTAAGAAATATAAATAAAATTGGAATCCCTTATATATAGGAAAGCGTTTTGTAATAATTTTTTTAATTTTTTATTAAAATCCGGGGTTTTGGGGTTTTGGGGTTTTGGGGTTTTGGGGTTTTGGGGTTTTGGGG